TCTGTGCATGCTTTGAATCAACAGCTATTTCAATCGCAGAAGAAAGGGGTAGGCTGAGGATGATAACGGAGCTTTCTGATAAACTTGGCCACATACCATCATAGTATCGACGCAATCGAACTTTGAACCGCTGCAGTCGACGCCCGAGTTAGGCGAGAGTCGTCCAGGTTGTTTGGTATCTGAGGCTGACTGCAGAAAATCAAGGATTGAAACCTGATTTACCTTTTCCGGCAGCTGCGAGCGTAGCAGCACGGCGGCGGCTATTCAAGGTTTTCGGTAAGATGATGAAGATACCCTTCGGCATAGGCGTTATCTGCTCTGAAAGGAGGATGTAGTTAGTAAGATGTCATTATAAGCACGTCAGATGCGCAAAGAACGATCTGCAGTGGGACTTCTTAGTCGGAAATTGGAACATTTCTTTAAATAACAGAGCAAGAGTTGAAGCCATCTGGTGAATTTGCAACGTACGAACTCTGCAGTTGAACTCGTCATTAAAACTTCTGCTGTCTGAAATTCTGAGCCTCTGCAGGTGGATGCTTTTCTGCTTAAAAGTCGATTGTACGATCCTTGCATATGTCGTTGTTACTGGGGCTGAACCCAACTTGGCTAACATTCACATAATGGCAGCCTGTAAGCGAAAGAGTTATAATCCTCTCACTAAGTTACAACGGACGAAAAATTTGGTCCACTTACAAGTCTGTACATCTTACGTGCGAAGGAGGTACCAGTGGAATGAAGAGCCTAGGTAGTAACGCTTCTGTTTAGGAAGGGAAGTTACTCAGAGATGTCCAGTTGTCTGGACTTTACCTCACTAGACCTCGCCGGAAAAGTTAGCGCTAACGTTTTAACAACTACGTATTGCCAAATAGCTGCCTTTGCAGGAAAGGCAGCGTGACTTCGGGTCTGAAGAAATGCTGCAAAAACGCACCTCTGGCTGGATGTTCGCCTTAGCCAGATTGTTGGAAAATCATAGGAGTTCACTCATCCTATTTATATGTGCTTTGTGGATTTGAAGGAAGTCTGACCATATCCCGCGGATCAATCTGTGCGCATTCTTGCAAATATAACGGATCGATAGCCAATTGCTATGGGCCATGCAATTATTGTATGCTGATAGTAGGTGCTGCGTCAAAATAAATGGCGTTAAGTCTAGACTTTTCATTGTTGTCACCGGCCTCCGCAACGGATGCATTTGTTTTTGTTCTTGTTTGTGTTATACATAGATAAGATCATAAGGCGCAGCCAAGGTGATGAGTGTTTCGGTATAGGAGATGTTGAGACGATAAGGCATTGTTTGCAGACGACCTTGTTTTATTGGCATCTTCTGAAACCGATCTACAGTGCTCCCTAGAAAGGTTCGCAGCCGAGTGCAACGTGGCCGGCATGCGTATGAACTTGTAAACTTAAATCATGGTGTTTTCTTAATGTCATGTCCACTGAGCTCTGTAGGTGTCTAGAGGAGCAGTATAACCGGTAGATAAGTGTCTCATTGATTCCTGTTTACTGATGATGGAAAATGAGAAGAGATCGGCCGGCGGACTGGAGTAGTCAGTGGCGTTCTTTGTGAACTAGCCAGCACTTTCATGAGTGATTGACAAAATTGATTCACGGTACAGGTAGCCGGAGTAGGCGTTCTGAGACAAATCATTGAAATCACTGGTCTGTGTAGAGTCGGAGACGGAGTTAAGTTCTCAAGGTAGTCTTATGTAGCTTTCTGTGCTGTTTCTATTTTTCCAGATCGAGAATTCACAGCACGATAATTTTAGTCCGAATTTTATTCCGATAATCCGAATGCTTTAGTGATGGAAGATGAACTACCTACTACTTGATATACCAACCGAAGTCCCAGGGAATGCTAAAGAATTACTAGACGCTATTGTCTCGGCAGATTTTTCTCCATTCTAAGGTTTTGTTCTGCTGAACCTCAGACGCTGATGTAAGACAGTGCCATTTTAAGAGAGTGTAGACCTTTGGAACCTTAAAGATAAGTTTTATACAAATTCACTTGACTGTTCTGTCCCGCTATTTCATCTATGTTAACTGATGATTTTGGTTGTCGTTCTGCGGTCGAAAAGCTATTTTTTGTATATAGTAATAGTGCCAATAGACTTTGTCTGAAATAGCATTAGATTCTGCTTAGAAATAGAAACTTTATCAAAATATGTTGGTTTCTGACGACAGTATGGGTTAATACTCTGGAAATATAGTGAAGTTGCTATCATGTTTGATGGGTATGTAAACTTCCTAATAGGAAAAGCGGTTATTATTTATTACATGTTTGTTCCAACTGAGCAGCACTAAAGTTTGAATGAGTGAGCCTCTAAGGCAGCGGTTCTGTAGTTAGTATATGAACATATGGGCATATGTATGACGTTGAATGTGCCAGTTATTAGATGTACACCGTAGTTTTCTCACAGAATTAGAGGTTCAGAGGCACTTAGAGTTTGTAGAAAATTGTCTTAATGCTACATTCTGAGCAATCACTTGCAGCTAAATTGTTCCATTAGGTCGCATTCTATTTGGTGCGAATATTTCACATCTAGTTCCTTTAAAATTAATGCTGTCAAGGATCTCTATTATGGTTAAGATTTTAATGATTGCAAGTCTGTTTTCGTTTTCGAAAGGGAAGGACATTCGAAGAGAGGTGTTACTTGTTATTCCATTTATTTATGCAGCAGAAACTGCGTTGCTTCTTCATTGACAATCCTATCATTTAGTATTAATCTATTAGTATCTGTACATCTCATTTTTCAATACGTTTTTGTTTTTAAACTTTTCATGACCAGCGCACTTTGTGCTAGTTTATACGTAAGCTGTCTTTCAGTTGTTTCTTCTAAAATGTTCATATTCGTTAGGACGAGGATCGACATCGCAAGAAGCCCGTAGTTTCGATCGAAATCAAGTTCATTGATGAGCCGACTAGAGTTGCCCGTGGCGGACGTGGTGGTAGGCCAAGCAGCAGAGCTGGGCGTGGTGGCCGAGGCGAAATGGGTGGACGTCGCAACTTCAGTCGTGGAGGCGGTGCTGGCGGAGCTGGTGGATTTTCAGGAGGTTCATCAATGACCGGTTCTGGTGGCAGCAGGCGTGATGCTCCATATAAGATGGATGATGAAAGCTTTCCACAGCTTACGCCAACTGTTGCATGATTTGCATGCGCGAAAATATTCACTATGTCGTTTATGTGAATAATGAATGAAGACCTGTCTTTGAAATCTTTGAACTTACACGTTGATTACATCCCATCGTCTTAGTTTACCAGCTTTATTTTAACACCTGATACTAAGCATGCATTTGCATTGTTTTGGACCTGTTGCGTTGTTTGACTTTGAATTTTCAATATCATTAAACGTCACAGTCTTTTATCTTCCTTACCATTACTTTTCCTTTATATAAAGTTTCGTTTGGCTCATCTTCAAACGTTTCATGACTTCTGGTCGTTCGTTGAATCTTCTAAAAAGCGTATTTCGTATATTCTTGTGTTGTATTTACGTCGACGGCGAAATGTGGCGTTGTTGACAATATACAGCTAACAAATTGTCTCCGTTCTCGAAGCTTTCTTTCATCAAGTTGTTTAGTTTTTACTTTATGAGAAATAAAATATCGCAAAATCTGTTCAAGACGGGAATTTAGAACAGATAGTTGCTTAAATGGAATACACTGAACAACATCAGTATATGTTGATAAGTGCCAAATGAAAGTGAAATTGTCGACCGCCAAATTAAACAGAATTTGTATTTACTCTAATTTTGAGACCACGCAAATAGGGACAACATTTGAGACTGTCAGGATTTTTTGCAAGAATTCTGAAAGATCCTGGAGGACAGAGCTTCACTTTCATAACCACTTCTTCGGAGTCGCATTAGTGCTTACAGCCTCTCATCCTGCATCAGCGTGTGAGCATCTGTCCTCTGGGCCTTCCGCTGATCGGCTGGGTAAGCAGTAGCTCGGTCGAAACGCGTGAGGACAATGATTCCATTTAGAAAGCCAATTTTTGCCATTCTTAAGCGGGATCGAAAGTTTTCGATCAGCATGAATATGAAGACGAATTGAACAGCGCAACTCGTCAGTCCTCAGCTCTGCTTTAATCACAATGGTTCTGGCTAGTTTACACAGAACGCCGTTGGTTAGCCCCTTTCGCCGGTCGAAATTTTCCTCTAGTTATCCATCGCTAGTAAATACGACTGCCAACGCAGTTGAACTTGCTCAACTGCAAATTTGAACATCAAATTTGTCGGCATAGCCCCCATGCTGTCATTGGGGCATAGCGTGTGCTTCTGTCTCAGGATATCGAACACTGTTGCAATTATCCTGCAACTGATATTGATTTTATCCACATTCAAAACAAGCTGAAAGATATATTCACGAGATAAGTATTGACGAGTGACTCTGAGCGTGCTGGGAAGTTCACGCGCTCATTGAAATCACCAATATTTGCTTCATTACAGTTATATGATGTGCAGGCTACAGCGATACTTCATCATCCATGGCCGCTTCTCCTTTGGGGTTGCGGAGGTAGACGCGTCAGACAGCTTCCAACGTTACCGATCCTGTGCCGCAGTCTGAGCTTCGGCAAAAGACATGGAGTCTGGAACAGACTCCTTGCATATATTTCCACCAGCTTCGTCTTAGCCTTCTCTCGGTCGGTTTGGCAAGAAACAATTGTTTAGCATTCCTTTCTGCAGGCATTCGCAACAAATGCCCAAACCATCGCAGCTGTGGCTTCTCAGTCTGGAGAAGCAAAGGCTGTACACTAAGACTCTCCCCGATGTCAGTATTCCGGACCATGTCGAGACGCGTAAGGCCAGCGAGTCCCCTAAGAAAGCCCATTTCAGCAGCTTGTACTCGAAGTATTTCAGTGATGGTCCACTACTCATGACCGTAGGTAACCATTGGGATAAGGATCGACTTGAATATCGAGAGCTTAGTTTTTAGACTGAGCTCTGCTTTAGTCACAATGGGTCGGGATAGTTCACGCAGAACGCCACTGGCTACTCCAATTCATCGGTCGATCTCTACCTCCAATTTTCCATCACTAGGAAATACGACACCGAGATACTTGAACTTCTCCATCTGCTACACTGCCTCTCTGTTATTCTGAAGAGAGCAACGGGCAGGAAAACGAGAAAGCACATGGTTTTTCGCTTTAGATGCGTTCACACGCATTTCGGCCATTTCGCACTCAGTTGCGAACCTTTCTAGGGAGCACTGTAGATCAGTTTCAGAAGATATCAATAAAACGGGGTCGTCTGAAAACAACAACCTTCACGTTTCCTACACCGATAGACTCATTGCCTTGGCAGCTCCTGACTATTCATTCTATCCATGTACAACAAATAGGATAGGGGACAGGACGCAGTCTTAGCGTAGACCAGTGCTTCGACTTAACGCTGTTTACTCTGACGCTGCACCTGCTCTCTGAACACAGATGGCTCTTAGCAGCTGGTCATCTATCCCAAATGCTCGCATTCATGACCACAGACTATTGCGTGAGATCGGTCATGGGCTTTGTCTAGGTCAACAAAACATTTACACGGCGTACTCCCACGATTTCTCAACAATCTTTCACAGGTTAAGAATATTATCAGAGGTGCTTCAACCGGGCCGGAAACCACACTGCCCTTCTTCTGTCCTGGAGTTAGTTATTCTGCGGCACCTCCTTTCTAGTTATTCTTTTTCACTTCATTCAAGTGTTCTGAGTCGCTTGTATGTGTTCATCGTTATTGTTGGATCTGTATCTCAACTAATTAGCTAGAAACCCAAGAATCATTCCCAAGTTCATATTGATGTTTTAGGCAATGAAAACAATTTAAAACATTCGAAGAATACGCAAATATACTGTATAAGGCCATTGTTACAAATGACCAGTTTCCTCAGTGTGAAGATTAATCAGTTTGCTGTTGAAAAGCTAATGAGAAAGAAAAATACGAAGACTGTAGACGAATGACAAGGCTGGTAAAAGTTAACAGTACGAACCCTGTGATTTCATAATCTAGCACAAAATGGTTCATGTGGAAACAAGCAGATCGTAGCTAGTAGTTAAAGTCGTATGTGGAAAGTAAAAGTAAGAAATTTATTTCATGACTCATGATGGATTCAAGTTGTACTTTTCGATAAGCAGAGAGCGGAAAGATCGAAACGTTTCTGTGCAAGTTGTTCTGGCATTCTGTAGTGACACCCGCAGTTGATCCAGTGTAAAACTGCCATCGGTAAAGCAGCTGAACACGTCCTGTAAAGAGTGTTCAAGAAACACAAAGGTCATCGCGCATTTTGTCGGTCGGTCATCGCCATCATCAGACGCAGATGTTGGAGCTATCGGTTCATTTTCAGCAGGCCACACTTCAGTCCTAGCACAGAAAATGTCCTTAAGGGGCAACGCAGCGTCCAACAGGGCAAGACACGTAGCGTTGATGCATGCTTCCATCAGCCGGCCATTGTCCGACAATGCTTTGACGATGATGGTAATGCAAGTCCGCGGATAAAGTTGAACCGAGACAGCAGACTCGCATATCTTCCGTAGCAAGAGCAAAATCATTCGTCGTTTGCCGCTCTGATTAAGAGTTCCATAAGAACCAAAGTCTACTTCTATGCGAGCGGACGAGAGCTGTTTACTTGTCTAAAACAAATCTAGCTATAAGTTAATTATCAGATCTGACAAAAATTTTGTACGTTATCAAAAACGTGTTTCGCATTACTATAATTCATGATGTAATTATAAAATAAGTACATTATAATATAATCAACAACTCTCAGAATGTCACGAACGGGAAAACGACGAAGAGGACCTTCACTTAGATGTTACTTACTTTATCTACAATCATTTTAAATGTGAAACTGACGTTTCGGACGAAACATGGTCCGTCTTCCGAGTTAAAACTTAGTAATTAACAACACCGATTCTTCATCGATTCTAGAAGCGTTGTACCACCTTGAAATGCATGATCGTTATACACCCGGCTCTAGAATAATCGAGGTGACTTCAAACTAAACTTTTAACCAGAAAACAGTAACGGTTTATACCATTACCTTAACACGAGTATTTATACACCCGGAAAACATCTTCCAGAAAACTCTTATCACTGTTAAGTTAAAAATAGGACTTATTGAATTTATAATAGACAACGATGAGGAAGAAGATTCAAACTCGGTCAAAGGAATAAAGATGACGAAAGAACATTATTCACGTCCTTGAATAGAACAGGTCTGAGAAACTTGGTGCAAAACTAAATAGAAAGTTCTCATCGTGCCTTATGTAGTAAAGAGTAATAGCTATTGTCCTTTTATAATGCACGAAATCCTCGAAATTTTCAACTGCAACTCATGCATTCGATATCAAGGGTGAAACAGAGGTAAACTGCCGCATTGATTAAACTTAGCGAATAGCACGAGAAAGAAACTGACAAGTTGAGTAGAATATCCTCCCTTCCAAATACCCACGAAGTCGTGCACAATTCTCGCTACCTCTTTCTTATACGATTCAAAGAATAGGAATGATGCTCAATTCCGCGCACTTCCTCATATAATCCTCCTTATCTTTAAACCTATCCAGTGCCAGCACTCTTCAGACTCAGCTCAGATGACTAGAGCTCGAAGCAAAAATGTCCTTGAGGTTCAGGAGGAACAATGGTTGGCGCGCAATACTTTTAGCCAGTATGTTCAATAGTCTATAAATGTCGGAATGCTATCTTCGTTCAACAATTACCATGAAACTGTTTGTGTTCATTGAAATCTGTTCCTATGTGTCAAATACAGCAAATATTGATTTTCTTTGCTTCCCACGCGTACCGTTAATCATTTTATTCACTTCAGAAAAATGAAAGAAGCACAACTATGCATAATTTTCAAACCCACAACTCTTAGATTGGATAGCTGAAATTCAACCCTCACTGCCAAAAAACAAAGTCCACAGTCACAATATCGTTCTTTCAACAGAGTGAAGTCATGGTCACGTGGAAATCTGACCTTGCGCCCCTTTCCTAATTTTGTTTGAACCTGTAACGTTATCAAGCCAAGTTCACGTATTTTATACATTCATAACAGCGTTGGAAGATCAGAATTGTATTTCTGCAACTCTGAATTGAATCAACAACGAATTAATGACTGGAACATTACGTACTGTTAACAACAGAATGACCAGAACAACAAAATAAGTTTTTCAAGAAATATTACATGTCCTCAAATGAAAAGACTTACCTTTACATCCGTCGGCCCCGTGACACCGACAATAACCGTTGTTCCATCATCTCGGTAGAGACAAGAACCATCCACACTAGGCAGGTAACCCAGGTCGTACTTTGGAGCCATTATCCGTATTTGCTAAAAACATTCTATTCAATAACAGTTCTATTCAGTCAACACACCTGTGCAAGGAAAGCGAAATATTAAATTTCTATAAAATTTCAATTAAACGAACTTTAGAAAATGCTTATTAACGTCAGAATCAAACGGTTTTTGTTACAAATAATATATTATAATCATCACAGTTGAGGTTATTAAGAATTTTTCACTTGCAGTTGCAAGGCAGTATATTATCAAACACTACATCGATTGCCGAAACAGTATCGCACTGCCTCCTCCTCATGAGAACTGTTGGCTAAGTTTTACGGAGACCTCCCAATTCTTCTCCGGGCTTCGGACCGGCAATGGCGGAGTTATCTTCTGCCGAAGTACCACAGAATCGCGAAGTTTGAAAGTGCTGCCTGACGCATCTGCCTACACGATCTAAAAGAAGCGGTAATGGAAAGTGAATTTAAGATTACGGTAACTAGAAAGCTGATCCTCAAGATAAACAAAATATCTTTTGCCCATTTCTAGAAAAAATCAGATACATTATTAAATTTACTCCTGGAATTTATCCATATTTTATGAAGGGGCCAAACTACGCAAACCGGCCGGCATTACTGCTTAAAATCATTGTTTCAATAATTTGCAATATTTCCTATTCGATCAGCAAACATTTTGACCTGTGAACTTTGGTCAACAAGACAAGTTTCATTTTCATTACATGCGAATATACTGTCGAATTTATAAGAAATACTTGAAGGAAGAAGCTAAAATTGACCATGATTACAAATTCACATGATGCAATGTAGGAGAAACGGGAATCCAACTCTACTGCTATTTAATGAACAGGAGTATCATTGTCGGTCAATAGGTCGGATTCGACGGCTGCTTATTAATTGAAGTTCCGGTGGCAAACCCGTCAGACAGTGTCATCAACGTTTCCGATTATAAGCCAACGTTTCAGCTGCATCAAACAATGACCGGTCGGTTGAGCTCGTAGTGGCGGTTTCGTCTTTCTGTCAGAAAATGTTTAACAGAGAAGCCCAAGCTGACGCACGTATGATTTGTTAATATGAAGAATCAGGAGTTTTGCATTAAGGCTCTTTCGGATATTTTCATTCAAAGCCATGTCAATACGCATCAGCCCAACGCTTTGTCTCAGAAAGCCAATTTCAGCCGCTTCTACCAGGGATCGAAGTGTTTCACTAATGGACCATGACTCATGAGCTCAAGTGAATATCAGGATGAAGATCGACTTGAATACGGAGAAGATTGTGTTCAGACTCAGCTCTCTTATAGCCATAGTGGTTCCGGTAGTTCGGATAGTATGCCAGTGGAAATTTCAATTCGATGGTCGACCTGTCTTTCCCATTTTTCATCACTAGTAAACACGACCCTGAACTTTTCGTTGACTACGTAAACTTCTTCACCGATTTCTTGCTTCTCTGTGTATCTGCAGAGCATAAAGGATAGGAGAAAGAGAAAGCACTAAGTCTCGTCGTCCGCACGGTTAAATTACTTTTAGAGCTGCCACTTAACAGCCACTATTTATTGAGTGGTATTTTTAATCTTTACGAAAGATCCAGAGATTTCCGCAACGGCTTCTGGATTATCGACAATCCTGTTTTCATTCATTCTTTCTTTCATATGCTTTCATTGATTCATTCCCTCATTCACTTTCCTTACTTTGACGTTATTCAAGTGCAAAACATCCATATAATGAGCTCAGAATGTTTGCTAAACTTTGCATACCGAATCGAAGTAAGTACCTGCGGTGTAAAGCAGCGAAGTGGATTAATGCTGTCAAAAAAAGTGCCACAGGTGATTAATGTTTTGTCGTTAACCAGAATGGGCCGATGATTTACCGAGCGAGATGCAATGAGCAAGTAGTGGAAGGCTTAACAAATACGCATGTATTTTATAGCGCTTTGTTTCATAGGTCCTTGTGGCTTCAGGAAACAAGTGAATATAGCGTGAGGATTTTGAGTCATTTCAGGGCTGATCATTGTCTTATAGCAAATCCAATTGCAGCAAACAGTTACGCGGATAAATTCATATTTATGTCTTAATTACCAGATTGTTGCTTTGTGTTATTCAGTTAAATTATGCTTTAATGGACGATGATCTGCCGTGCTTATGTTACAGTGCTTAATTTGCTTATCGTCGCATTATCAAGTATGCTGCTGGCGAATATTCACATTGTGCCATCATGTTCCGTGGCTAAACATGGAAACGTTTCTAATTCACAAGAAACGTTTCCAACAAGCTAGTTGCGCCCTGTATTTGGTGACGGGCGATTTAGACATGAAAATCATTTTCGATCGTCGTCCTTGATGATGATTACATCGTCGATTTTTCAACACATCCATCGTACCACCTCGAAATCGTGCTGCCAATATTCAGGGTGAATATTTAGCGTTGTTTGAACGTTCTGATCACTGCATCATCAGCGTTTATCTAAAACCGTTCAGTACTCAAGACAAATACTATTGCACCGTAAGAATCGTGTTATGCGTTATGAGCTGAAAACATAGCCCAAAAATTGGCCAGTTAGAGACCATATTCTCTACAACAAATTGATCTATGTTTGGTGTAAGTCTACTGAATAGGCCAGCAGAAGACAGTTGGCGATTGCGTCAATTTCGTGCATAGCAAGAAGAGGTGATGGTCAACAAAAAAATTGTGATGAAATATGCTATCAAGCAACTGCTGGTTGAGGACAGAGCCGAATCGAGGTTTCTCCTCCTGCAATCCATCGACAATTTCAGATCCTCCAAAAATTTCACTTAAATAACGTATTAACTTGTAGGCTTAGAGCATTCCGGTTTGCTATTTTGCAAAAGTATTAAGTAGTTTTCGTTTTCACTACTTGATCACCTGTATATTCATGTCGCAACATAAAAATCGATATTAATTCCTTCAGATGTCGTATTGTACGTCTAATCATCTTGTCCAATGGCTGAGGAATACTTTCAGTGAGGTTAAAGTGTCATATTTTTAAAATGAGTAGTCGGGGTCCAGAGAGCTTGGCTATTGTTAACTTCAGAAATAAGCACAGCGGCATTTTTCTGGAGGTATGATTGATACAGGTATTGTGAAGGCATCCATAACTGCTGATGCTTTAGATTCATCTCCATTTTCTTATGTAATCGATGTGATCATTGACCTTTTCTTTATCAGTGACTCCGCCTTGTCCCTTTGCCTTCAAACGGGCTCCACTTGCGTCCACCAACCGCTGCAATACTCTGGCTAATATCTAGCACTTCACCTGAGTATGACATTCACTACTGCGGAAGCAACAGGCGTTTTTAAACACGCTGTTGTGCCCTTTCCTATTTGACAGTAGCTCCCTTTGATCACAGTTCGTCGTAACTGTCTGGAACCTTCCTTGGACATTGGCGACAATATTAAAGCCATTCACTGGATCTGTGTGGACTGAAAAATCGCACTTTTTCTTCAATTGCTGCCATTTTTCAGTAGCCCTGAACTAACTAAGGAAAGAAGCCTTCAGAAGAGACAATGGTGCGGATCGAGAGGAGATAATACAGACTATCAAGAACAAGTTATTGTGTTTGAAATAATGTTATTTCTCATATATGC